GAAACGTCAATCAATACCTGTATGATAATTAACTCGGTGGAACTCAATTACCATACGTAAAATTGATAAGCAACATCAATTAATAACACACTATATCCTTCTTAATTGGAAAACGAAATTATGTCACTTGATGGGTTATAATTCGTGTTTATGTTACCTTAATTACCAATCAATTAGGAGGAGAGACTCTGATGAAGTAATGGTGTTTCTTTGTCACTCGTCTGTCTGTCTGTCTGTCTATACTTAACTGTTCAATGTCTACTGTGTTGTGGTAATAATGATCTTATATTTCCTTGACTATTTGACCTTCTGTGAGCCCAGTGATGAGTGACGCAGCTAACGCCCACCACCAAGACAAGAAAGCATCACGCACCGCTAGATATAGTATCACTAAATCATACCTTCCAAGCGTAGAGATAATATATACCAGTGCATATCAGAGACACACCCACCCACCCCACCCTCACACACCCACCCGCACACGCCCACCCCCACCCACCCGCACACTGCCAGAGTTCAAGAAAATATTAATAATCTCTTGAAAATGTTAACATAACCATCGACAACATTGCCTCCTTAGAAACAAGAAATACATCAACACGGACACACCCTTGCACTTGCTTTTGTCATTTGCAGTAAATGTTAAATTCAGCACCAGCAGCAGCAACGACTTGAATCTTCTGCTGCATTGCTTCCATCAGAGTTTCTAATTAAGTTGACGACTCGCTGAGCATAGGTTCGCCAACAAAAGCTTTAAGAGGAGGTAGTGCAGATACAACGCACACTGTAGACTAAGCCCTTTATAGCGTACATAAGGAGACAATGTAAATGGCACTGCACTCGATCGCCTTCACTCCCCCAAATATAAAGTTAGGTACCTCTTTACATCTACGAGGAAATGGATTCGAACCGGTGAACCTTGAGGACTGAAAGAATACAATATTCCTCCGTTTACATGTAATATATTCTGATACCTTATGACGTATCACCTTGCAACTAAAGTCTACCTGTTTATCTTATTACACCTTAGTTCTAATGGCTATATCATTCTATTTACTTATCTGTCATAGTGCTAATGGGTCGCTCTTCTCATGTATGTGTGTGCATGTGTATAAGGCACAACTTAATGGTGGTAAAGCTTCACTGTGTGTGTTAGGGAGGGAGTAAGAGCAGTATAATTGGTCCAGTCTAGTAAATGAGGGCAAGACTAATCAGCTCCTGAGTTTAATTTGCATTTTTTTTTTCTCCGGTTCAGGGTCACAACAATCAAGAGCAGTAAAAGTTTCACACCATTACCCAGTTTCTTTATTGAATCAGCCGAAACTTTCTGTCCTTTTACAAACAATCAATTTACGTGTGATTTTTTTTTCTCCCTTTCCTTTAAACCAAGACACTAAACAAATCCTTCCTCTCCAGATAAACAACAACAACAACAACATAAATAACAATAATAATAACAACAACGACAACAACAACACCTACTACTACTACTACTACTACTACTACTACTACTACTAATAATAATAATAATAATAATAATAATAATAATAATAAAACTCCTAAAATTTACGTGGCTTTAAGGTCATGGCCAAAAACAGTGACAATAGCTCTGTCATGCATTCAGATAAAGGAGTGAGAGAGTTGTTTCCTGTCTGTCGGGTTTCACCAACTGTTTTCAGAGTTCAGGTATATACTAGGAGTGACTGTGTGGTGGAGGGGTGACTGTGTGTTGGGGTGGCTATATGAGGAGTGACTGTAAAGGGTAATTATGTAAGGAATGACTGTGTGAGAGAGAATATGAAAGTGTACGCGAAAGCACCGTATCATCCTCGTTCTATATAAACAAAGAGTCAAGGCCGGGCCACAGAGAGGAGTCCCGCAAGGTGACTATCCCTGGCTGTCTCTCTTTAGCTCACCCCACACAGATGATTTTCAGCCATAGATCATGTAAATCCCTGTAATCCCTCCTTTAATAGTTACTACCTTATTTCAGAGTTAATTGCATATGTAACAACAATAATAACATCAAGTATAGTAACCTAAATAAATGGAGTTGAATTGGTTTTATCAAGGAATTTCAGCATATCGCACCGTTCTCCATATTGTTTAGTCATATCAGGATTATCAATGGTGACTGTAAATCTTTGTTTATTATAAGATTAAATAAAATGCCTGAGTAATATACTAATTCATTAGGTATATATTTCAGAAGACTTCAAAGTAAGAATATCTTATAATTATTAGTAGTATTAGTGGTAGTAGTAATAGTAGCTGTAGTAGTAGCATCAGTAGTATTGTGATTTTTTCATTATTATAAGAATCAACCAAACTTTATATCAGTAAATAAAAGTTGCATTTCGATAATAAGTATAATGATTCTCGCTTTATGATTTAACTAATTAAGAATTATGTCGCGGATGATTCTTAAACAATTTATTTTAGTCTAGCTGACCTAATTTTTGTACTGACGAGAGAGAGAGAGAGAGAGAGAGAGAGAGAGAGAGAGAGAGAGAGAATGTTAAAACGGAGGGAAAAAGTGGCCGTCATCTACGTTAGTAATTATCGTAAGTTTTAACCTAATACTGGTAGAACGACGCTCTTAGGCCCTAGGGGATAGATTTAGCTCGTAAAACTTATATACTAAAGTAGAATATAAAAACAAAAATCCAAGAGCTATTATTGAAGGTTAAACGTTTTTTTTTTACTTTGGAAAACCATTGATTGGAACTTTGTAATAATAGTAATGGGTAAGTTCCTCTTGTAGTTACGATAACATTATAACGTAAGATAAACTACCAATTGATTCATTAATAGTCTCAGTGGATACTTGTAAATGGATTAAATGTTTGAATCATCATACTAAGAAAATATAAACCGCCTTAGGAAACAGACTTAGTAACACACACACACACACACACACACACACACACACACTTCTCCGTCCCCACATAGAATCTATATCACCTCGGCTGGTATTAGGTGGTGGTAGCAGATGGTGGTGGTAGTGGTAGTAGGTGCTGGTGTTAGGTGATAGGTAGGGGTGGTAGATTGTTGTGATGGTAGTAGGTGGTGGGTGGTAGTAGTAAATAGTGGTGATGGTAGTAGGTGGTAATGGTGGTGGTAATAGATGGTGGTAGTAGTAGATGGTGGTGGTAGTAGTAGTAAATAGTGGTAATGGTAGTTGGTGGTAATGATGGTAACTCAGTAAGGGGATGTACTAGAAGCAAGTCTCAGTAACACAGAAACAAGTCGTCCTTCACAAGGTTACACAGCCTTCCTACTCCTCATGTGACCTCGTGTGTGTGTGTGTACCCGGATTTAATATACTCCCGGGGAATCACCTACCCTGTGTGTGGCGCACCTGAATATACCATTATACCTGGCATCTACAGGTGTCTTATCTCCACGAGGAAAATATTATTAATCATTTGTCTATAATCATCACATCGCCTCACACCATGTACACCGACCTTCACCTATACACCCACACCCCCTACACCCACACCCACACACCCTACACCCACAGTCCCACCTCCACTCCATCTCAATCTCCACACCCACCATCCCTACCTAACTCCCACCACTACTTCTCCACCACGTCTTCTCCGCACCCACCACAGTCTCCACCCCCCACCACCTCCATCCAACACCCACCATACCCCACACCCACCCCCCACCACCTCCATCCAACACCCACCATACCCCATACCCACCCCCCACCACTCACCACTCCAGGAGGAAATGTCTGTGTCTGTGTGTGTGTGTGTGTGTGTGTGTGTGTGTGTGTTTGTGTGTGTCAAGCAAAACTCCGATACTCTGAACTTCTCAAAAGCTTCAATACAAACATAAGATAAGACTCGCTGAAAAAGTTGCCCTGGACAAACTCTACAGAATTTTAGGCGTGAGATCAAACAGCTACAGCTGGCATGTAAGCCTCACTGGGTGTCACAGAGGAGGAGGAGCTTTGTTTCTATATAACGGACTTCGATTTAACGGACTAATCTCTTACATGTAATCCGTTAAATACAGATTTGACTATATAAAGACAAATCCTCAACCACAGTCAAGGAGGCTCTCAGTGTGTGGTTTGGGTGACACTAAAACCAGGCATAAAATTCACTCATTTAAGTACAGAGTGCATGAGTGCGTTATACACTTACAAGATGAAGTTGTTGACACTCTGATATCGCCAATGTTGTGCTAAATCATCCGTGTTAACTTCAGAAGGCATAAGATGACCTTTACCAGTACACGTCACACCCTACTCTCTCTGCCATAACAGAGAGAGAGAGAGAGAGAGACTCAGACATGCACTTACTTAAATATATCTACTGTCTAAGAAAAGCAAAACTAACGCATGGAATACTAAACAAGAGACAATAATAATAAGTTAATAACACAGAAAGATAAATGAATGGAATGTAATAGTAAATAGTTAAAGTAACAATAATCTTAGTCGTAAAAAAAAACCAATCAAGAATAACTGCAGGACTGGATGCTAAACTCAAGGCAAGAGAACAGACTCTACGATATAAAGCCATACAAAGCCTTTCAATATAAACACAAATTAAATATCTCTTAATATTCACACCACACACTTGCAGTAAATAAGTAACAATAAGTAACAGTAAGTAGTAAAGTCGCAATACGTCAGAGTTAATCCTCATAAATTTAATCTTACAACAATCTCCGTGATAACAGAGATAAGATACCCACTTTATCTCTCCCTCCCACTGCCACCACTGACTCGTTAACACCATACCAGGGACCCCCCCCCCCAAAAAAAAAACTCTACACCTCAATATAAAATTTCACTCCCAGATTTGAAACTTATAACAATCACAACACCCAAATTACATTACACAATAGTTACAACACTTATAATATAAACCAATAGCCCACAATACACATTACTAAGAGGAGGTTATAACTAAGAACGAAAACTATGAATGAAACCCCTGATTCGAACCAAAGTGAAGCAATAAAGTTCATCATCTTACCTGAAATCATGTTGTTGATGTTATTATTTACTTCTTGATCTTCACAGTTCACAAGACACCTGTAGGAAGAAGAAGAAGAGGAGAAGTACAGTATTTCAATGTCAAATAGTTATAATTTTACAGATAATCTATTTGTTAGGTTATGTTCATTAGAGTAGTAATAGTAGTAGTAGTAGTAGTAGTAGTAGTAGTAGTAGTGTTGGTGTGGTAGATCAACTTACTCACACAGGCAGTAAACAACAGTGTGGTACGACTGCTGGAGAGACAATGACTGCAGCGCAATACAGGGAAAGTTTGTACACTAGTATATCTTCCCCTCCCTCCTGACACTCTCCCCTTCTCCAACACCCTCCCTCTCCCCCAACACCCTCCCTCATTCTTCCTTCTATATGACCTCCCCCATCTTTCCCCACACACTCCATCCTAACTGCCCACACTCCCTCTTATTACCCACTCCCCTTCCCCTCCCACAATGCCTTTTACTCTCTCCACCTCCCCTTATTACTCCTTCCACTCCCACCCCCCAACCCCACTCCATACTACGTCTTCCTACCCATCTTCCGCCTCTTTACTTCTCTTCACTTCTCCCATTCTCCCTCTCTTTAGCGTCTAGCCTCCATAGATACCATTTATACGAGTACCACCACCCTCGTTTTTAGTTGCCACACACACCATAAGTAAATAACAAGTACCCGTTGACAACACTTGACTCTCTCGACTTAATGTGTTGAGTCATATAATGGCCTTGAACTTGATTAACAAAGAGCGTAGTGTGTGTGTGTGTCGTCTTAACTAACAATACTGCCATCATTTCTGTACTCGACCCCCCCCCCCCTAATTATGTATACATGTACTGTGCCAATGCCTTGTAATGTGTAGGAACGTTTTGTTATTCTGTCCATCTACCATCGCCCGTCCGTCTGTCATACCGTCCCTCTCCCATGCCCTGTCCGTCTGTCATACCGTCCCTCTACCATCCCCTGTCCGTCCGTTATACCGTCCCTCTACCATCCCCTGTCCGTCCGCCATACCGTTCCTCTACTGTCCCCTGTCTGTCCATCTACCGTCCGTCCGTTCCTAATTCTCGTCAACACAACTCCTACAGTTTTTCATTTAAAGGCTCATTTTTTTGTGGTATTGCTACAGATACTGAAGCCACCTCACCCCCCTTCCACCCCTCCCACCCCTCACACGCCTCAACCAACCACAACTCCAATCAAGTGACATAACCTCCTCTCTTAATAGGGTTTCAACTAACTTTCATCGATTCATTCTCATTAGTTGGTAAAATTTAACGTTACTCAAAACTATCTTTTCAAATCCTGTATCGTGAAAAAATTGTAAAAAAAAAAAAAAATAATAAAATTCATGTGTCAAAAAAAAAAATCTCTCGCGTGATGAGGAAATGTATGTCTGTTCACAAAACATCACACGACCATGACTGTTATAACCTCTGTGTAATGCCAGACCCAACGAGACCTTGATCTAATACTAAACAAAGACATGCTTGGTTTTGACGGTACAGTATACGGCGGGAAGGATCCTCGTTCAAAGAGACTCGGGGTCCTGATGCACTTGACTTTCTTTCTCTCTTATAACCGAACCTAACCTAACCAAACCTAACAGCCACCCATCATTTAATATTTCCTACGCCGTGTCCTGCAGGGTAATACTACTGTGAACTAAGGTGTCGTGTTCCTCACCTTCCTCACGCGGTCTGTAAAAATCATCCTTCAAGGCCAAAACTTAAATCAGATTAGGTGTTTAATGTTTCGTTTTTGACCAGTTTATTCCTTCGGCCACTAGACAGAATTTCAGCTTCGGCCACTACACAGATTTTCAGTCGGTTTCGAGGAATTACTAGTCATATCGTTATGTTTATTGTATATAATAATAATTCATTTATGTCTTTGTATATTAATAACTACTGGTAAGAATAATGTATTTGTGTATGTCTGTTTTGTATTTGTGTTCTTAAATTTAGATCAAAAATTTTCTCCCAAACGTAAGTCTTGGTGCAGAAACAACTAAAACATTTTGTATATAATAATACTCATGCTTTAACTCCTAACAATCTCTCTCTCTCTCTCTCTCTATCTCTCTCTCTCTCTCTCTCTCTCTCTCTCTCTCACTAATATATATGTATTTACAGAAGACTTCAATCGTGTGCGTGAAGTGCCCACGCCACCTCTATTTTACACACAGGAAAACGACGGAAGTGCACGTAATTAGCATCCACGTGTAAGTATCCGGGAGAGAACAATGTGTCGTTCATTACTGCCCATTGTTTTTCAGGGCAGCAGGAAGTCCGCAGGTGTTTATACTCCCTGATTGTAACCTCAGTTCTGTGTGTGTTAATAGAAAAATGTTCCCCCTCTGAACCTCGCTAAAATAGTTCTTAAATAAACTGATATTTAAATGCAATGTCCTCACCAGGCTCTCAGAGTAACAATACACATTATCATGGCGAATTTTAACAGATTGCCAGTTTGTTCGTGCAATTTTGGTACGATAAATATTTATATGCGGTGTAGATTATATATCACACAGCTTCATAACACAGGTCTATACTAAGGAAAAATATATTGTTTTTGGTATTATGTTATTACTACGTTTCTACAACATAAAAATCACGAGAAAGAAGTTGGTCGTTCTATCACGTTTGTTCGATATCTATAATCGTTCTCCATCTCAATATATAATGTATACAAATCACGGTGTTGCTCCTCAATCTCAAATCTACATGTTTCATCAACTAAGCTACTGGACTATGATACACTATGGTATTAAACTATTTCGTGTAAATATATAAGATTTAAAAATTTTCTGAGGAGTGATATACATGAAGTAGTGGCTCCTGAAACATTACTTGTAAATGCCTTCACTAATAATAAAATCAAGTTCACGATCTCAATACAGTACTTGAATCCATTTATATTTAATAATATTTTTTTTTACGTTTATATTCTTTCATTATGAACATAGTTTATATTCCTTAGTATAATGAAACTTCAGGAATGAACGTACTTATTTTCATCGTAATATACACTCACTTAAAATATTTCTTAAATTTAACCAACAAATTAATAATCGGTTAAAAATAAATTACTTGATCTAATTAATTGTACGGCAGGTGAGATAATAGTGAGTGGTGTTAAAATAAATAAGTCAGCCATTAAACTCACGTTTTCTCGGGATTTGAGTATTTTATAGAAAACGAATTTAGTGTGAGGAAGAGCTCGCGTGTATTTGAATTAAGTTACTCAACTGTTCATTACATTGGTACTATATTGGATATTACAGTAGTAGTACCGTGGTTATAGTACTGTATTAGGTAAATATCACTTTACTTCACACTGAACCTTACTTCATACATTATCGTTTATTTAACACTTAACAGTTCACAGGTTAAACTGATGTGGTTAATTTTATTATACATTAAAAATATATATTATATAAACGAATATGATTTATGAAGGTGCATTTATGGAGTCAATTTAGAGTTTTATAATTTTACAGTAAGTGACCAGCATAATGTGGTAATGGTTTATGGATGTTAGTGAATTTTGGATTCCAGACGAGGATCGACTCACAGAACGAGGATCTGGCTATACCTTTTTCTGCAAGGCTAAGCCTGCTGCGGAGAGAAACCACATTTATGGAATTGGCTTTGCCATCCAGCAATGTATCCTACACAGGCTAACTGAAATGCCTGTTAGGATCAACGAGTGCCTCATGATGCTCCGAGTCCCAATGAATCCCTCACACCGTGCCTTCTTCATCAGTGCATATGTCCCAACACTGGATGCAGAGGATGACATCAAGGAGGCCTTTATGCCGACCTTAACAGAGTGCTAACCTCTATCCCCAGAGAAGATAAGGTTGTACTCCGAGGTGATTTCAATGCCAGAGTCAGAGATGCTGACATTTGGCAGGGAATCATAGGGAAAAATGGACTGGGCAAGTGTATTCCTAATGGCCTGCTCCTCCTCAGCAAGTGTGCTGCACACAGCCTCACTATCACCAATACCTTGGTTAGGCAGCCAACAAGTTCAAGGGTTCATGGTAACACCCACAAACCAAACACTGACATCTCATTGACTACATTATTGTCAAAGAAAGATATTGCCGAGATGTCCTCATCACCCGAGCCATGCGTGGCTCAGACCACATCAACACTGATCATCGGCTCGTCAGAGACAAGCTCTCACTTCACGTCGCCCCAAAGCGGCGAAGGCAGCAAGCCTGCAGAAGAGGTTTTAACACTTAAGTGTCTAGAGGATCCAGCAGTAGCACACGCCTTCAGAGAGCAGCTCGAATATGGGCTGATAAACAACCCAAATCCTAGAGCCGAATGGGATATTCTCAACGCTGTCATAACAAAAACCTGCAGAGAGGCCCTCGGCCAGATCGAAAGAATACACCAGGACTAGTTTGATGAAAATTACCCGGCAATCAATGTACTCATCGATGATAAACGTGCTGCTTTAACTGACTGGCAAAACAACCCACAGTCTCAGACCAAAGTTGATACCTTCCACAAGAAGAAAGCAGCAGCCCAGCGGGAACTTCGCAATCTAAAGAACTACTGGTTTAGGAATAAAGCATGTGAAACACAAAAATTTGCAGATCAGCACAAGATGCGTTTATTTTTCAATTCCATTAAAACATTTTATGGGCCAATCACTCGTGATGCAAACCCCCACCACTCATCCGACGGTAAATCCATAATTAAAGACGATGAAGGCCTCCTTCAGTGCTGGAAGGAGCACTACCATTCACTGCTCAACCTAAACATCGATATGGATGTCCGGACTTCTCAGCAGGTGCCTCAACATCCAAAGCTGACCCACCTCAGCCATCCTTCATCCCTGGATGAGGTAGCTATTGCCATCAAACAGATGAAAAACAACAAAGCCTCAGCGCCTGATGGAATCCCAACCGAGGTGTATAAAGCAGGAGGACCTCTGTTTACAAGCTGTCTCCACTCCCTCCTGGAGAATATATGGGAAAAGGAGGTACGACCTTCACTAATGTTACCCACTTTCGGTATCTCAGCTCCCACCTGTCCACCACTGCGGATATCGATGAAGAGATTCAGCATTGGATCAGACTACCCTCTGTGTGAAGAAGGTAAGCAAATTGGTGACACTAGAGGTGGTAGCAGTGGTGGTGATGGTTGCAAGGTCATGTTTAACGGAAGCACGTGTGGCTGGCTGTGTGAGTGGGTGCGTGGGTTGAGGGGTGAGGTTATAGGGAACAGGGAGACAATGTATACTGCACATTCAGCCTAGTGGATACTGCGACAAAATGTATTATTTGGAGAGAAGCAAAATCATAAGTTAAAACAGACACTAGTATGGGGGCCATTTAAAGAATAAATTCCACAGTATCTGGTATTGAGTTTTATTTATCGTATACATCTTTAAAAACAATCAAACAAGCAAATCTCAGTCTAATACAGTATTCGTATTATATGCATAAAAGATATAAAGAATAGGATTTAATCTGTACCCACACAAAATAATTCGCAGCCAATCATATCCAACTGTGTTTCTGTATAGTTAAGGCATGAATAGATACGAAATAATCCCTGGAATATGAAAAGAACATAATATAATTTTCATGTTTGTTTATACTCCACCATCAGATAACATATTAGATAACGAGTTTATGGACAATATTTCCTTTACATACAACCAGAGAGATATGAACCCTTACCACAAACAAAGGAATCTCAGTTAACATTATAACAACATTCACATATAAGTACCCTGTATAGTTTAAAAATAGTATAATATATCTCTTATAATGAACGATAAATTTAATGTTAACTGATATATCAACTGACACTTCTCCCCATTACTGGGCCCCTCTCACAGCAGCCCTACACCACTGTTTGTTATGAAGCATGGATGTGGTCCACGCACCTGCCACTGTGAGGTAGGTCAGTAGTGAGCCATGGCCTGCAGGATGTAGGCAACAGACCGAGCTCCGGCGTCCTCTCCACTCACGTTTTCCGCCCTAACATACGTAGCTCGTCCAGCCCTGAGTACAGAAACAAAACAAAATATCAGATACAGAGGTAGAGTGAAGCCTCCATATAACGGATTTCTCTCACCATATAATCTGTTAGGTGGAGATTTCACATATAATGGCCCCTCGATATAATGGATTTTTCTGTCCATATAGTCCAGTAAATCGAGGTTTCACTGTACAATATACAAATAAAAATAATAATATAACTCATTAATGGTTATAAGAATAAAATATAAGTGTAATATCATTTTAACTTAATAATAGTATAATAACAACAAGAGGCTTCTGAAGATATGTGAACATTTATCTGAGAACTTTAAAACACATGACGCTTTTCGTTTTTCATTCTTTGGGGGGGGAGGGGGTGGATTGCAGTAATGTTGTGAGTGAAATATGTTCCTCCAGTTTATACACATTCCTAAACACTCCCACACAACACACACACACACATATATGCACACACACTACACATGCATTCCCACCTATACATGATGACACCCATATCCACACACCCAAACACACAAAAACAAACAAAAACAAACATCCTCTCTCCTCATGCACACAACAGCCACTCATTATTCCAGCTTGTTTCATCAATCTGCATTTTAATAGGATATGAATGACACTAACAGAACAATAGAGGGTGTTATCAAGGTCTGGCATTACCTCGCTCCCATATATGCTGTCTTCTTAGAACCTTCATCAGCAGCTGTGGCCATGGCCTTCAGAATGGTCCTCAGGTCGTGGTTATCAGGGCTACCCTCAAGCACCTCCACGGCTGGCAGCAGAGCATCCAACTAGAAGGAGAGATTGAGATTTCTTGATTACGCCCTCACAGCAAAACTTGTAATCTGAGAATTGTTTCCTTTGCCTGACCTGACCTAATCTACCATACTTCTGTCTCCCTTGACCTAACCTACCATACTTCTGTCTCCCTTGACCTGACCTATCATGCTTCTGTCTCCCTTGATCTGACCTATCATGCTTCTGTCTCCCTTGATCTGACCTATCATGCTTCTGTCTCCCTTGACCTGACCTATCATGCTTCTGTCTCCCTTGATCTGACCTACCATACTACTGTCTCCCTTGACCTGACCTATCATGCTTCTGTCTCCCTTGACCTGACCTACCATATTGCTATCTCCCTCCCTGCCTGACCTAACTCACCATGGTTCTGTCTCCCTGCCTGGCTCCACCATACTTGCTGATGGCGTCACATCCCGCCCTGAGTGCCGTGGCCCAGGTGAGTCTGTGGGACGCCTTTGGAGAGGTTATGTGGGCGGCAGCAGCAGTGAACAGGATAGAGTAGACGCCCCCGGAGGTCCCACCCATATAGGAAGCGGTTACCTCTCCCAGCACACCTAACACCTGGCTCGGGTACATCAAAGGCAACCCAGACAGCTCCTTCGACACACCTGAGGAAGTATATATTGTACAGTAATCAATATTTCAAAGTTTGGGGTCAGGTATACAATCTATTTCTCAGTTAACTGTTTTTCTTTAGTGAGTCTTTTAAAAGCATAATTTTAGATTAACTTTATAAGTAAATTCTTTATATTTATGTTTGCTTGAAATGATCACCTAAAGATTAGACTTATTAGCTTACTTCACCTGAGGATTAAGATTAACCATCCTAAAGCTAACCTAACCTAACCTAACCTAACCTAATCCCTCCATCCACTGTACCTCCACCTCAACTTACCATTAATTCCTTTTATCAGCGTTGAGCCGCAGTCTCCATCACCACACGTGGTATCCAAGTCGTTGAGGTGCTGCTCATACTGTGGTACTTGGGCAACCACTGCTTCCAGACATGCCTTCAATGCTTGTGTGTGAGCTGCGTCTGATAACATGTAGCCAGTGTCCTGGAAGGTAGTGAGCTATATTATCTTAGCCACTGTTCTTTAATCAATTTTATGACAACCTGGAGTCTTTAAATCAAGCTCTCATGCAGTATGATGTAAAGTGAATTATTATTGTTCTTACCATTTTCGTCTGAGTGAGAGTTAGATTAGGCATCGAGAACTGGCTGGTGGTGGTGGTGTTGAGGTAAGGTGTTGGCCAGGCTGGGGCAGTGGTGGGAGCATCAAGAAGAGGCAGCCAGGTGGGGTCCAGCAGACGCAACACCGACACGTGCAGACCTCGCATGTCCAGGCTAGTCATAAGCTGCCCTGGATACACACGCTTCACCTCCACACCTCGATTTTCTGCTAGGGCACAAGCATACTTCTATTTACCATGATTCCTCCTTTTCCAAATTGTACCTCATGTTTATACAGTACAGAGCGTAGAATATCACGGTCCCTTTATGATAAAAGTATTAGATTAACATTGTGATGACTTGAATACAAACAAAGTACACATAATGTCACTCTAGCTTACAGAATAGTTTGTCAATATGTGAGCGACAATGTTCATGAGAGAGGGAATGAGTGGGTGATATACTCAATCAGTGAGAGGGAAGGAGTGGGTAAGAGTTTCTGTTCTTTGCAGGAGGGAATAATTTAGGCATGATACTAACTAAGCTGTGAGACAACCTCGTTCGTCAGGTTACTCAATTCCAGCTGAGAGAGGCCACCCAGGTTATTGATAATGACAGCCACCTTGTCTCCGCTCTGTAGGTCCAGCCTGGTTTCGGAATCTTTTCTCGTCAGGTGATTGAGCAGCATCTCCACCACCTCTTGCAGCGTCCCAGCCTATAAGGATAAGTTGTATTTTTTTTCTCTCTCTCATTCAGTTTTATGTGGTTTAATAGGGCCAACTTTTAAGGTTTCATTTACTTTGTTTCTGAAATACAGTAAATGCTGTTGAAGTAGTTAATGTTTTTTTCTAACCATACTGTATACAGTAGTGTATCTCAATATCTATTCCTTTTAAAATGAAGAATAATTCAGGTAATATTTCTATAAAGCTGAACATTTCTCTACATATAAGAACAAAATGCCCTGAAAAAAAAGGATATTAACCCAAAAAAAAATTTAATCCCTTGCATATGGTGTGCATCTAAGCTGAAGTTTTTTTTTCAATCGTCTGGCACTGGTTACTTGAAATATTGAAAGAAGCGTCCCTGTAGTGAGAGGTTTAATACAACTCAGGTGAAAGAAGAATGACGCTGAAAGTGATTTTATCTTTGCTTACCTTTATGGTGGCGGCACCTGTCTCCCCATGTACACCGAGGCCGAGCTCCATGACTCCCTCGCCCACTGTAAAGAGCGGGGCGGAGGCTCCAGGCAGGGTGCAACCACTGGCAGCCACGCCGATTGTCCCAATAGCCTCGCTCAGTCTCTTACATGTGTTCATAGCCTCTTCTAAACTCGCTCCAGCTTCTGTCATAGCTCCCACGATCTAAGGGCCAGTTGGGTGAAGAGCTGTTAGGAATCTCACTAGTCACGACAACACATTATCAACAACAGATATTCACGTCACCAAATAATACACTATGATAGTTTTTTTTATAACTTCTGTAAGGTTAAATACTGGAGACTTTAACTAAAAGGTAACATGACTAACTAGGTGTGTGAAACTCGTGTAAATAAAAATGAGATAAATCACAAAAAAATATATGATAGTGACGTATATTTCCCTCCATGTTTAGAGTTCCCATAAAGGAATATAAAAGATTACAGTGAAACCTCCATATAAAGGACATCTATCCATATAATCCATTAGAATGGGGGTTTTACATCTAAGGGACCCTTGGTATAACGGACTTTCCTCTCCATATGGTCCGTTAAATAAAAGTATTACTGCATAGAGATAAGTCACAACGGGGAAGAGATTAATACCTTAAAGATGAACATAGTACCACAGAGACCCCTTCTGCCAGCCGTCCCTTCCAGTTGAGTGAGAGCTGTGTCGTCTCCCGATACATACATCTCAACCTGGAAGTATGTTGAAACTTAACCCCTTGAGTACCAACACCTATTCCTGCGGGTGAGGTGGTTAAGTTATCGTACTCAATGGGTTTAAATATCGTACTTAAGACATTCACTCTCAGTCTCCCTCTTCACATTCATTTCAATCTACCCAGTCATTCTCGATTCTCATTCTATTCGGGCAAAGTTAATAACAGTCTTACCTTCATACCAGCAGCCCGGCATCGCTCTACAGCCAGGCCACAGTTAATACGGTCTCCTGTGTAGTTGAAGACGACCACCAACACCCCAGCTGTCAAACCCAAGAGTGCATTTTAGTGGCTGTGAGTGAGTGACAAGAAAGTACCATCAGCCAGGGAAGTAGCTGAGGGTATTTCTGTTTTGTGAGCCAGAAAAGTGACCTAGTAGACTGTACTGTCACCCTGAAAATTATTAAGAATCTCACCCATACACTGCCAGCAACAAACCAGGCCCAGGTTTATTACATTACCTGGGTTATCCCTGCCGACAGTTGTAATGGCGGCGGCAACAGCGGCTGGTGGCGGCGAGGTAAAAACATGCCCTGCTACTGCCGCCCCCAACATGCCAGTGCCTACATACCCTGCCAGTCAGTCCACCGCCACCATAGACACAGCACAGCAAAGGAATAAATAAAGTATGATGAGAAATGTTTTCCACGTGGGAATAATAATATATGTTTCTCAGCCCAACCGACTTGAGATACCAATTGGATTCATTTCCCCAAGCTACACCGAAGAGAAAACTATATCTTTTTTCTGTGAATATCAAAAAAAATTCAGATCACATGAAGATTAGCCCCCAGCTTATTTCACGTTATGGTTAAAAATCCTAACAATACTTTCTGAGGGATTAGGTCAGGTTAGGTTAGTGTTAGGTCACACACAAAGATAACAGTTATCTTACCTACGCAGAAAGGCTCATGGCCGGAGCCCCCACCAGTGACCAGGGCAACTTGGTGTTTCCCCTTGCCGTCCTTCATCAGCCATCTTCGGTCAGCAATCAAACGCTGCCCCGAAAATGAAGGTACCAGTCAACTATCACCTTACATCAGTAACCTTTATTTCCCAAACAGATATAAAATCCTATAAAAGAGAACTGTGTACAAGTACTATATTATACTTATTGTGTAACTTACTCTTGATATGAATGTGCAAGTTGATTCCATATTCATGCTTGTTTGTTAGGGGCAGTGAGGATATAATACACTGTAAACTATGCCCATCGATACACAAGGAGGCAGCGTAAGGGCATACCCAGGGGGAGGTCCTGTATTGTATTCAGGCATTTTTCTATAATAAAAGGTATTTACTTTTGATTTCAGAATATCTCCTAATATCAAATAAACATGACTTCTAAATAGCCTCAAAATGCCCATGATATTGGTCAGATTTCGAAAAATCTTCTGGGCGGTTTACTGTGCCCCCCAAAACCCCCCAGCTGGGTGGGTTCGCTGCACTCGCCATGCTCCCCCACCCACAGCTTTTTGCCGCACCGGGGTTTACAGTGCCCCCCAAAACCCCAACCCCCCCCAGCTGGGTAGGTTCGTTGCACTCACCATGTCCCCCCCCCCTTGATATTCCTTTATCTGCCCCAGCAGCGTGACCATCACCACATCCCTAAAAATAAAGTTTGGTACCCATTTAACACCTGTGTGGACTGGGGGCATCTAACCAGTGATTCATGTGATAGAAGACGAGAAATGGTGTGCTATGGCATGACAGGGTCAGCAAGACAGGAGTAATGTCAAGACTCACGTGTTCGGGTATATATAAGTACCCAGGGTTGGTGGCAGCCGCAGCCTCCAGGCCCTCGTCCACACACCTCTCACGAGAGGCCAACAGCTGGCTGGTCATCACACCCAACAGTCACCACCTTCACTCAACACCTGTAATCACATCTCATGTCACTACCAATTGAAGTGTCACCTGTACACACAGTACTTGTTCATATTCTCAGTTTACACGCACAGTATACCACGTGAATCTTTAATCTCCACATACAATACACTCATAGTGCTTCATATTTGTTTGTTTTTTATCAAATTCTTAAGTGGGGCAAATTTTATATCCCTCCCCGTACAGGAATTGCCTAGCTTATACTACAGGTAGTCAAGGGGCGACTTAATTGAAGTTCACAAACAACTCAGAGGGCATTACTCAGTCGAGGGTTCATACCTGGAGCTGGAGGACGTGCCCCACTAGCCTAGCGGGGAGGGTGGTCACAGCTTATGGTTGAAGAAGCCACAAGTTCGGAAAATTGTCAAGGCAAACTTTTTCTGAGTTTGTAAACTCTTGGCACACTCTGCCAGAGAGTGTGACAGCACCGAGAGTGAGCTCCTTCAAGACCAGGCTTGACCAACACTGCGCAGGTGCAGATACATTCTGGAGCCAGTTCTTGCCCAGTACTTGCCAATGACGACTTACAGCCTGTCTGGCATTGATGATCTGTTTGGTGGGGTTCTTGGCCAGCCAGATATTTGCCTCAGCCCAGCTAGCCATTCACCTCAGCCAGCCAGCCGTTCACTTCAGCTAGTCAGCCGTAAACCTCAAGCCAGCCTCAGAAAGCCAAACAATCTAAAATAAATAACAAACCCTTCCCCGCATCCACACACCCTACCTCCAACCACACACCCTTCCTCCCATCCACACACCCTACCTCCAACCACACACCCTTCCTCCCATCCACACACCCTTCCTCCCATCCACACACCCTTCCTCCCATCTACACACCCCTAGAAAGAAAAATAAATTAACATTTGATGATTTTGATATTCTTCATGAGCAAAGAGCGAGTCATCAGTCGAACATTAACTCACGTCTCACGGCCTAAAACTTCAAATAATAATAATAATAATAATAATAATAATAATAATAATAATAATAATAATAATAATAATAATAATAATAATAGTAATGGAAGTATTACGCTTATGCTAACCGTGGAAGCCAACTGCTTGTTTGGTTGTGGACTAGTTTAGTGACGTAAGAGCGGATCGTTGACGAAGCCTCGAAACTCTTGACTATCTTTCGTTAATACTTATCAGTTTTATTTTAGCTAATGGTGGATAGAAGTAATTTAAGAAAATTAATGAGATTATAGATGACGGACCAATCGTGTATGGTGTTCTTTCCGCCGTCCAGTCGATTATTTTCATATGAATCAGTAAAGCGAACCAATGAATTAAGGAATCGAAGCACCTCGGGTTCGCCACTCGCCAGTGATCATTAGAGGTACGGCAGTGGTGGCGTCAACATGTGTGTGTGTGTGGTCATACAGTATTTGATCGCTATTTCCATGTTTTACGTTTGCTGTTTGAGGATTACCTCGTGTTTGTGGCGTCGTGAGAACTTCCAGGACTCTACGTTGTGGTTATTAGCAGCTGAGTGAAGGTAAGGTGATAAGTTGTTTTGTTGTACTGTGGGGTCCAGGAGGAGGAGGAGGTAGTGTAGCTCTCCGCCGTGTGTACAGGAGTTGTGGATGCCGTGGCTCGGACAGAAAATACTGATATTAAAATGAGCTATTAGCCTAAGCTAGTATGTGGATAGACAGATAATACTGCTATTAAGATGGCTATTAACCTAAGCTAATATGTGGATATATGAATAGAATCCTAGAATTAGTATCGGTATATTGTTGTTGCAGTGCGGGGTACTTATCCACCTGTACTGGGACCTTGGTTTTGTATGAATTTATTGAGTAAAAATCATACATACATACATACATGAGGGTTATCGGCCTGGTTATGTCATGTTAAACACCTTGTTTAGTTGAAGTTTTTGTTAGGGTAAGAGTGGTAGGTATCGTCACCGGGACCCATATGCTGCTATTGCTGAAGTAAATTATGTAATGGGATCACTAACCAACATTTCCAATATAATTATTTGCCCTTGATAGTGTAAATACCTAGCGCCTCACTTGGATCAATTAAATTCAATTTCAATTGTTTATTCCTTGATAGAGGAAGCGGGATCCTAGTGTATGGGGAGGCTCTCGTGCCGTGTGAACTG